CGCCTCTCTGTGTGCTGTCTCACTGAACACTGTTCCACCGCAGGACTACAGGGCTGCATACATCACTCTACTTCTAACTAAACACAGTCTACATGCAAGCTACACACAGCACCCTACTTCCCACGCTCGCCACGGTGCTGAAGACGCTCGCTTGCTTCTTCACGCTCCTTGCAAAATAATAAAATCTAAGTTGTAGTCATGCAAGCATTTTGTTAAGGAAAGATGAAAACATAAGTGATGGATGAACCAACAAATGAAAAATATAAGTTAAGTTATATAGTGCCCAATATGTCCATAATTGCACTAATTAGTTTTATATGGAAGGTACTGTAAGTATACAATACAGAGACCAGCAATTTTCAGAAAGTGTGTATCCCAGAATGTGCATTTTGTGTGACAACTTAAACGAACCTCATTCATCCATCCGTCATGATATAGGGACTCATGTAAGACGTTTCTGTCTTTAGGAGTCATTTTTAAGAATGCCAGCTAATGTCTCTCATGACTAGGAAAAAGAACAGCTCAATATTGAGTATGTACTGACAGAATATCACATATGCAGTCTCTTCTGTGGTATAGACACAGCTTTAACACAAGATGAACCACTTTCGAACTGCAGCATGCAAAGGGTTCATAAAGCGATTTCTCCCAGAACAGGCAGTGAGCCCGATGGGACATGCTTGCTATGCAGGCTGGGTTTTAACCCAAGGGACTAAGATCCATCCTCACTAATGAGCCTTTTGCACTTGATGGCTCTTCCCTTCCATCGCGCACAGTCACCAGTGATCCTGTGAGTCCTCCCAGTCCTAGAAACGCCTGGGGGCTCAGTCACATAACTTGTGCCTCGCTGACCCTTCTGCAAGTAGCCCCACCTTTCTGTGCCAATGGGTTTGCTAACACAGCAATTCAATTCAGGACATGTAATCTGTAAAAGAAACCCCACACCCAGATGATTAACCAGGCTCTCTGTTCAGCCTCAGTCCTGGCCCCAGAGCGACGTGGTGACCTCACAGGAATGGGACAGGTTTGCTCCGGTTCGGTCCTCAGTGGCCATTTTGAAACTCCATAAGGAGAACAGATGGAGCAGTAGCCACAAATGAATATTCATAAAAGGAAATCAATTACCCACCTTCTGTGCCACCTGCCCTCTCAACCCAGCTTAGCCCGCAGCTGTGGGAGATAAGGGGGGCTCACACTCGTGTCACCTGGAAGGCATTCGCAGAGGCCAACAGCCCAGCGCCAAACCTGGAGTTTTGGCACACCTGACCCGAAAGGATGGAACATTTCGTTGGTTTTGACCTTTGAAACAAGAACTGATGCCATAGCAAAGTGGCACATGGCAATGGAAAGGACAGGACCTTCCAAGCCACGCTGGCTGAGGCTCAGAGCTCAGGGCTGACCCCTTCTAACCCCTCCCCTTGCTTCTGATGACCCCACTCTGAGACCTACCCACCCACATTATCCTCACCCCCTGTATTCCCACAAGGATAGTACCCCATTTTGTGATGGGCTGGCCTGGGTCATTATGTCAAATGGGAAAGCTTCATGCAACCAGGAATGAGCAGGCATCGCTTTCTCCTGCCCCCACCAGGAGAGAGTTCCGATATGCAAACATGGAAGCCATGTCAGGACTCTTTAAAATGGCTTACTGAGCAGGGGCTCTCGCTGCCAAGCCTGACAGCCTCGGTTTGATCCCTAGAACTTACATAGTGGAAGGAGAGAACTCACGGTTGCAGACTGTCCTCTGGCCTCCACATGCACGGTGTGGACCACGTGCATGCACTAAATAAACAAATATAAAAATAAACTATTTCAGGGCCAGTGAGATGGCTCAGTGGATAAAGCTTGACAACCCAAGCTCAATCCTCAGAACCCGCATAAAGGAGACAGCCAACTCCACACACTCCATTATGTACCCATACATATAGACAATAACACTGAATGCTTTTTAAAAGCTACTTCAACCCACTCTGTGGAGATGGACAAAGAGATGGGATTCCTAGAAAGTTGTGTAAGTTTTCAAAGAGCTGAGGCATATTTAAGGAATTGATGTCAACATAAAATACTTCTTTGTAGTCGGTTGTTTTAAATAATAAAGGTCTCTTATATACAGTTTCCTCCATTCGGAGTGCTAACATGAACCAGGCCATCAGAGCCTGCCCAGCATCACTGTTACAAACTGCACTTGGAAAAGGGCTTTACCAAATGGCAGAGATTAACCGAGTCAATGATGGAAAACCATCATTTGCACAAGGACCCCAGTTTCACTCAAGTGGCTGCAGGCTCCCTTGTTCACACGCTCTTTCACTTTCTGCTGTGTCTTCTCTCTTGTCACTCGAGTCCCCATTCAATGACAGGAAAAGAAATCAGTAAAGCTTTGCTGCCCCAGGTTCATCGCTCTTTACTATGTGTGAATAAGTGTATGTGTGCCTATGTGTATGTATGTGGGTGTCTATGCTTACGAGTGTATGCATATCTATGTGCATATGCATGTGTATGTACACATGTGTACTGTACACTTGTTTGCTGTTGTCCAAAGAGTCCAGAAGAGGGCATCAGATCTCCTGGAACTGGAGTTACAGTGTTTGTGAGCTACCCCACGTGGGTAATGGAGCTCTGAACTGTTGAGTCAAATCCCTAGTCCTCTGAACTCACAATCCTTGATGCCTTTATTCCCAGTCTTGCCATAAACCATCCTAACGTGGGGACTCAAACTTCCTTGCATGAAATCCTCAGCCATGCTAATTTAGTCTCCTTCAGGTAGCGAGCAGCGAGACTGGAGGAACGTGGCCGTCAGGAAGGCCAGACAGCCTTGTGGAAGGAAGCTGACTCTGGGGGGAGTGTGGGAAGTGGCAGGACCCGTGCTTACTCACACACAGGGTTCCAGTGCAAGCCACCACCGCAGAAGAAAAGCAAGCCATGCCTACCCCGCAGTGTTTGCAGATTGCATCCAAGCTGCCTCCGTTTTTGTTTTCTTTATTTCTTCTCCCACTCTGTCCATCAAGGTGCATGTCTGGAAAAGCAGCAAGTGGAATGAAGACAAGAAAGGATCTAGGTGATTGATTCCCCACCAGGGAACTGCCCTTGCCTCTCAATTCAATCCTGCAGAAACAGAATTGCATTATTCTAATCAAGGGCTCCAGGATAGCACTTCCATGCCAAACTGTGACAGGGAGCAATTTGTTGGAGTCACCTGGGCCCCTTTCTGCCTTTCAGACGGTCGCCAGCTCAAACCCTGCAAGCAAGGACAGATTGCAGGCACCCTGGAGCCCCTGAGTCCTGGCTTCTTCTCTCATCGTTTTCTCACGCGGCTCTTGAGGTGGAACAAAGCTTGGCTTGGCATTGCATGCAACACACCTGCCTTCCCCCTCGTCCTGTAAGACCCTCCTAGATCCCCCATAAATAGAGACTGGAGACTGAAAGAAAAGGGGGGAGAACCCCTAATGGTTATCATTAAGGCACATCCAACCTGTGGCTTCCCACAATAGCCAAGGAAGACACTCAAAGCAAAATTAGAAAATTGCTTAAAACACTACAAGAAAATTTTTGCTATTTTTTTAATTCAGTGTAGTTCTCAAGTGTGAACTTCAGTGACATCATTTCATGGTGTCAACAGTGGTACATATCTAGTCATACACCATTAAAGTCCCTAAGGCAGTGGTTCTCAACCTTACTAATGCTGTGACGCTTCAATACAGTTCCTCACGTTGTGGTGACCACCTCACCATAAAACCATTTTTGTTGCTGCTTCATAACTCTAATTTTGCTATTGGTATGAATCGTAATGTAAACATTTTTTGGAGACAGAGGTTTGCCAAAGAGGTGGTGACCCACAGGTTGATAACCACTGCTAAAATGTCTACTTCATGTTAAAGGTGGGAACATAAAACAAAAATTTCCCTCAAACCTGAAGTGTGCAGGATATGGAATTAAAATTTTATGTTCATTCCCCCTTTCTTCCTTTTATGCCCCCTGCCCCCCAGGAAGGTTTTCCTATGTAGCTCACACTACCTGGAACTTGCAATCATTCTATCTCACCCTGAAAAGTGCTGGAATTATGGGTTTACACCACCATGTCTAGCCTCCAGTTTCTTTTCCCTGAATGGCAGCCATGGAGGATATGACGGGGGTCCCTGGTCATTCTTACTCAAAGCCAGGTGCTAGCATCTGATGCTGAATTGTATTGAAAATGCTCACCATGCTACCCAGCCAGCACAGAGAGGGGCACAGGGTCCTTGTTCCTTCTGAGCCTCTAGATCAGAGAAGCAAACAAACCCCTTTTCCAGCTGTGGTTGAGTGCCTTCCTGCCCTGCCTGAATGCCAGCCCTGTCCCAGCTGGGATCACTGGCTGAGACTGAGAACGCCCCTATTGTGTGGGAGAAAGGCATTGTCCAGAACTGTCAGGGAATGAATATATACAGTGAGCAGGCGGGGTTGCAATCTGTCCAGGGCAGCTATCAAAAAGAAAATAATGGACATTTCCATATCTGCCAAGAAGTCACACCCCATGGATTGGAAGCATGACTCGCTGACCTTCATACTGCTCACAGGGGGCTCATACATCTTTCCCTTACAAAATCCCCAGCCTTTCAGTGGCCTTCCAATTGGGCCAGGCTATGCCAGGAAACCCTGGGCCCCCAAGAGATACGAGAAGGCCAGCCTACAAGGAGCCTACGTCTCTGGTGTAGGAGGCATGAACATTTCGCTTGCTTTCTCTTATTTGTCTTAATCAGTCCATTTGACTTTCTTCAGGGTCTCTATAGAACAACAACAACAATAAGAAAATGTAATGGAGAGCGAGCCAGGGACCATGTACAGAGAGAGAGAGAGAGAGAGAGAGAGAGAGAGAGAGAGAGAGAGGGAGGGAGGGAGGGAGGGAGGGAGGGAGGGAGGGAGGGAGGGAGGGAGGGAGGGAGGCTGGAGTATACATATGTCAACACATACACATACAAATTTTTAAAAGCTTTAAGAAGACACATAAAGGGAACCTTTGTCAGCTGTGCTGTGAGGTCTGATTTGATGGAAATCCCCTTGTGGCACAGGGGGCATCAAGAATGTGCTGAGAGGAACAGAAATGGCCACAGGAGGGCCTCAGGTTCTGACCTCATGCTGATGGTGAGGTCATCGTTTCTCCTCCTTCCATCCTCATCCTGGGGACCAGCCCTATGAGCCGTAGACCAAAGCTGGCCCTGCTGACACCCCTGCTATCTCAAAGCGGGAGTAGGTGATCAGGAAAGCCTGCATCAGACATTTCCCTGGGCGGTTATGATGGCACACTCTTCTCCAACAGAGCGTGGAGTCCGTTCAGCAGCCTCCCAGAGCTTCAACAGACACAAAGGGAAACAACTGAATGGAGGATCCCTTAAAGCAGAGGTGCCAGGGTGAAGGCTGCATGTAGCCTCTGTTGTTCTTTTGTTTAAATCGCCAGCATCTCGATTGTGATGGAACAGGAACCAAGAGATTCAGTAGCCATGGAGTTTATTAAAGGGCAGGGAGTGTGAGAGGGGAAGAAGAGAGAGATGAAGGGAGGGGGGAGAACAAGAGGCAGAGGGTAAGAGAAAGGGGGTCAGAGAGGAGAGCAAAACAGGAGAGAGCAGAAAAGGGTAAGTGGGCAGGGGGTCTGTCTTCTAAAGGGGTCCTTTATACCTCAGTGCATACTTAGTACTCATGGAACCCGGGGCTGACCAGGGTGCATTCTGCCAGGTAACAGGGGCAGGCCACCATAATGCCTGAATCCTTTCATTTCCACATTTGCTCATTAATAAAAAAGGTGGGGAGTTAGGCATGGCAGCTTAGGGAAAGGGGGCGTCGAGTTCTCAAGACTACTTCCTGCTGACCTGGGGGCGTTGATCATCTTTGGGGACCTGAGAAAGCTGGGGTGCTGCCACATCCTGGGGTAACTGGTTGTTTCATCTCAGTCCAGGCTGTACGGAACTCTCTGGCACCTCTTAGACCTGGAAAGATGTTGGCAGAGCAGAGCACAAAATTAAATTTAGGAAAATAATGTTTCTTAAGTCCTGGTACTTGAGGGGAGGATTGTAAGATGAGGGAGGGGTTCCCCAGGAGGTCCCAAGATGAGGGAATGGAGTCCTGGGACCAAGGAAAGGTTGAATAATGTCTGGAGTGAATCTGACCTGTTTGAGTGGGTCCAATTTGGCTCCCTGGAGCTTACAAGAATCCTTTGAGTTTGTGAAAACATAAGTATTAGACACATTAGCAGCACATCTATGTTAGAGACAACTTGGCTGAAAACATTAACATTTTTAAAGCTGAAAGATATTTTTAGCACAAAAAAGCACCTTAATTTTGACCTTGCAGTTACTGTATAGTGCTGTTTAGTGCTCTGTCAGAGTTGGATTAGTAGCTTATCAGAACTTTATTGACTAATCTTAAGACTATGAACAGCAGCATAATGAGAAAGAAAAATCTGGAACATGTTTGACCTTTATAACTTTAATTCATACACCTTGCATTACCATCTTAGACTTTCCATTCTCATTTATAATTTTCATATTTAGACCTTCATACACCTTACACTTTCCTATCTTCACATAGATACCTGTACCTGAAATCTGTTTTGTGACAGTTGGAGCTTTGGCTGTTGCTTTAAGCTGGCAATGCTACCAGTGGTCAAAAGCATCAGAGTTCTTGAGAAGGATAAAACTTTACCTGAGTTAATGATTAGAGAGTAACAGAGACTTACTAACTGGCTGCATGGACAGCCAACCCCAAGCTCCTCCATAGTTGTTGAGGGCAGCGGCTTTAAGGACACCCACCTTCTGCTGATAGCATGGGACCTGCGGATTAGGAGTAGTAGGAAGACTTGCCTTCCATTGACCCAAGCAATGTGGAGAAAGTCAATTCCACTGTCCTCTTGTCCACGGTCTGAAGAGTCCTTGGCAGCAGTTGAGATGAAAGGCAGGGTCGCTCAGTGGCTAGCGCTACCACTTTTGTGGGTGGAATTTCTTCAGTGCCCCCCAGTCTTGTTGGAGGAAATGGGGTGGGGCTAGCAGCTGTAGTAGCTGGCCCATCTCTCTGTTATATAGAATATTTTAAATGCCACATTCTCTAGATCTCTGAGCATTTGAGGGCTGTCTGTCTGTTTAGTACATCTGAGCAGAAAAAAATTGCCTTTAGTTGCTTGCCTTAAGCAAATAGGTGGCTACAGATTAGTGTAGGATCTGTCTACAGAACTGGATTGAAACTGAGAGGCTGTGGAGGGATGTTTTAATTAGAGCCCTCTAGCCTAACTGTAACTGGCTTTAACTTAGTAGGTTAGATTTACGCCTGTAAAGGACAAAGAAGTAAAGAAGAATCCCCTTGTGTAATAGAAGCTTAACCTTCGCAAACAGCTTACAGGAAGGACTGGGTGGTATAAATATTTCGTTAAGTTGAAATAGATCTTTATAACCTTAAATGTTTGCCTTCATTTAAAGATATAACAATTTAAAAATATTTGAGACTTGGCACATTTAAAATTTAAGTTGCATAGAGTTAGCTTACATTTTTAAACAGTAGCTAGACCTTTATAACCTTAAATGTTTACCATCATTTAAAGATATATAACAATTTATAAATATTTGAGACTTAGCACAGTTGAATTTAGTTGCATATAGAGTTAGCTTACATTTTTAAATAGTAACTAGGCCTTTATAACCTTAAATGTTTACCATCATTTAAATATATATAACAATTTAGAAATATTTGAGACTTAGCACAGTTGTATTTAAGTTGCATAGAGTTAGCTTACATTCACATCTTAGCATAGTTGAATTTAAACCACATGTACAGAGACAAGCAGATATCAAACAGGACTGGATAAAAGTAAAAAGGGAGAGCCAGAGTGTAATCTCTGATTTGCACATTGTAGCAAACAGAGAGGAGATTTAAAGAGACAGAGTAGACTTAAAATTTCCAGTGACAAGAAAGCAGATCAGCCGCAGAAGAAATTAGAGACAAAAACTAAAAGGCAAAAAAGGTCGGCAGAAGCAGGCTAGAGTGTCTGTCTGCACGGGCTGAGGGAAGAGAGCATCCCATGCAGTAGGCAGACCTACAGCTAGGTCACATGGTCAAGATGGTTGCTTTCATAAACAGGTTCCCAGGCTATGCCACATGCCCAAGATGGTGGCAGCCATAAGCACATTCCATCTCCCGGGAAGTGGCTTTTTCTCCATGAGTGAGGCAGAGAAATGTGTGAAACCAGCGGACACCAGAGTCCAAGTGGCACAACATCCAAAAAAAAAAAAAAATCACCGTAGGTCTGAGAAATGAATGCACCAGTCAGTACAAAACCTGAAAACCAGCCGGGCGGTGGTGGCGCACGCCTTTAATCCCAGCACTCGGGAATCAGAGGCAGGCGGATCTCTGTGAGTTCGAGACCAGCCTGGACTACCAAGCGAGTTCCAGGATAGCCTCCAAAGCCACAGAGAAACCCTGTCTTGAAAAACAAAAAACAAAAAACAAAAAAAAAAACGAAAACCTCAAACCTCATTCATGGGGAAAAAATGAAAAATAAAAAACTCTCAGATCATCTGAGCAGACGCTGCCCCAGGTCAGACCACCTCGAGCCGCTGGCATCCGCACAGAGGAGAATCAGGACATTCCCAGATGGAAGAAGGCTCCCGCCCTGAGGAGGCTTTATCGGTGATGGAAGAGCCACATTCCCAACCACGGATCACTGGTAGAATGTGGGGTGCCAAAGCCGGCACATGGTTTGATATGGGGGGCCCAGCTTCCATGAGAGAGGCAGAGGATATCCAAAGCCTATAATCTCCAGCGTCCCAGAGACTAAGGGAGGACTGAATGTGAAAGGCAGTAGCTGATTCTGTGGTCCCTGGAACACAAATCAGGGGTCAGGGCTCCCGGAGCCGTGGGACACCCAGTACTGGGATTTTTGACCAGTCAAAGACCATATGGGTCCTAACTCATGGAAGCAAGGGCAAAGGTAGGGAGGAAGGGGCGGGCTTACCAGACATGGCGGTAGTGGATGGAAGAATCCAGAGATCCTTAGTTGGAAAAGTGACCGAGGAGTTGAAGTTTGCAGGGTGCCGGCATCTCAGACCACCACAGGCAGGAGGAAACGCCAGGAAAGCCTGCGGAGTCACGTGCACCAAATGCTGTTATTAAACCCAAATCACATCCCTGCTCTAAGATGAAAGCCTCCGCCTACCCAAATTCTCCCTTCTTTCTAAGGCACACCCCAGCATCAGCCTGCAGCCACCATTGCTGAGAACGGGTACCTTAAGGAAACAGCGTAGGGGAGGAAGCGTTTATTTCGGATCATGGTGTGAGGCTAAAGTCCATCGCGGTGGGGAAGGCGTGGTGAGACAAAAGCCCTCAGCTGCCGGTGGGAGCGTGGTCCTGCTTGCTCTCTGTCCGGCTAGGGGGAAGAAATGGCTGAGGAAATGGGGGCCCTGGGCTAGAAGCCGCAGTCCATCTCCCAGAAAATCTGCCTCTGCAGACTAGCACTACCTCCCAAGAGACCTACAACCTCCCAAAACAGTGCCACCATCTAATGAGCAGATGTTCAAACTTGTGAACCTGTGGGGACGTTCACGCCCAAACCCTAACAGCTCACGCTCTGTTAATATCTTTTCTGGAAAGAACTGAGCCCAAAATAAAAGTGCAAGGACGACTTGTTTGGCAGTTTTTAAGGGTTCGTCTCAGTCTATGCACCCCCCCAAATTTACACCAAGTAGGGGTTCTTGTGCCAGCTGTAGCTGCTTAGAACTCTTCAGCCATTTCCACTAACTTTGCATGTCCTCGCTCTAGAAGCAAACTGAAGACTCTCATGGCCTACTACCAAAGAAAGAAACAGAACAAGGACATTTAAGGCAGAACAGAAACAGCTGTCAGAGAAGATCCCTGGCTTCCCCCAGGCTACAGCATAACCCTCCAAAATGAACCCTATGATCATGGCTTCAGTTCTTCATGGCAAGCTGCAATACAAGCCAGCTCTGCTTGCACGGAGGCTTTCAGTCTGCCAAGGGAAGGGATTAATATGCATAGCCGTCCTTCCAAAACTATCGGGCATGAAGAGCCACGGTAGACACTTTTGTCCAAGAAAGCCCTGCTTACGGTCCAACCTAATAGCGCTGTGCTTTGGTGTGTGGACTAGATTCAAGGACAGTTTATCCCCGCATGCAGATGAGAATGTCAGCCAACTCACCTTCACCCATGTCTCCTGAACCTGATGGCACACTTAATCCTGCTGCTAAGTCAAATACAGAGAACGGCAGCTCAGGGCTGTGGATGTGTTGCACACAGGGAGCCGTAAGAGGAAGAGTTAACTTCTCCTCCATCCCACTTCCTCAGGACTGCTCCCTGCTCCCTCCAGCTGTGCTCATCTACTCTTAATGATACCCAGCTCCACCCACCTGGCTCCAATGAGGCAGATGTCATCGCTTCAGAGTGAAGGGCCATCTCCTGGGGACTAGGGAGGTGGTCCAGAGGGTACAGACGTGTGCCTCCAAGTCTGGTCATTGGAGTCCATCCCCCAGGATCCACATGGTTGGAGAGGAGAACTGGCTCTGATGGGTTATCCTCTGACCTCCACATGTGTGCTCTGGCATGTGTGTGCACACACATATACAGACACACATAAATAACTACATAGATGAGTAAATAAACAAATGTTTAAATAAACCCCTCTTTCTCTAAGTTGTCCGTGGTGTTTCATCACAGCAACAGAAAAATAGCTAACACATGTGGCTATTCCTACAAAGGGCTACCATAACCTTGATAGCCTTGCAGAGATAACCTGAGGGATAAGAGCCCATCATGGTGAGAGCCATGGTAGCATGCAGTGGACTTGGTGGGAGGAAGAGGAAGCTGAAAGCTTACGTCTTCAAACTGCGAGCACAAAGCAGTAGAGGGAAAACTGGAAGCAGGCAAGGCATTCTGACTCTCAAAGCCCACCTGCAGTGGCCAACTTCCTCTAACAGGCCACGCCTCTAAACCTTCCCAAACAGTGCCACCAACTGGGGATCCAATGTTCAAATGGCTAAGCCTAAGGGGGACATTCTCACTCCAACCATATCTCATCAACTGCCTGATATGTACATAAAACTAGACAACCAACCAGAGTCTCACATTTACCCACTCTTTCCCAGGCAGGTCCTCTCTGCAGCTGGTCCTCTGTCCTCAGGCTCCACATCAGCATCTTGAGCACTATTTGCCTATCTCCAAATGCAAGTAATAAATTGTCACATCTGTCTCTTCTACCCAGTGGGGACCATCTGGGACAGGACTCAAGGTTTAAGCATCGTGTTTCTCCGACATGTCACATCCCAAGCCTATGACTGGTCTGAACACTTGTGACCATCGTTAAAGCCCAATGATACAGCCAAATTGAGCAGCATCACCCAGATCTTCAATGTTAGCTTTCTAATGACTCAACATAAACTGGCAAAATAGGCATCAAATCACGCACAACCCTCTTCGCCCCTTCCCCTCCTTCCCTTGACACACTGGAACGCTGCTCTTGAATTCTCGTTTCTTTATTTGACACTTATTTATGCGTGTTGGCATTCTTTCCATTCTGCAGAGTCCACAAAATCTGCACTCAAAACTGGAGAAAGGATGGGGCTGGAAAGATGGCTCAGAGGTTAAGAGCACTGGCTACTCTTCCAGAGGTCCTGAGTTCAATTCCCAGCAGCCACATGGTGGCTCACAGCCATCTGTAATGGAACCTGGTGCCCTCTTCTGGTGTGCAGGCATACATGCAGGCAGGACACTGTTTACATAATAAATAAATAAATCTGGAGAAAGGAGTGTGGTGAGGCCAAGACCTAGACCTAGCCCTGCCGCGGTTTGCTATTACCACTCAGTGCCCTTGTCTGTACCCAGCAGTGCCGAAATTGCCTGTGCTCCAAGGGGATGCTGCACGGGGCTTCCAGCGCCACCTAGAGGCTCCTGGGCCACACGCAGTCTCAGGAAGAGGAGACTGGACATGGAGAGGTCAGTGTGGGCTGGGCGGGGGTATGTGGGCGGGGATACGGGTGATGAGATCTAAAGATGGAGGTCAGAGCTGCAGGTCCAGGCTGAGGCGACGCAGTCTAACTTCCCTTCCAACAAGAGCAGGCCAGGATCAAAGTGTAGCTCCCTGTTACAAGCCAAGAAACTTCAGACAGCTGGTCCGTCCCCTCCAGATCTTTGTTAACCCATAACTTGAAGATGGTGTCCCCGCGTCACTGGTGCTGCCACGAGGATCAAGTTGACACATACATATAAATAAATGTACTGGGGCAAGACCTACTGCACTGTGGTAAAATCTGTTATTCTCTAGACCCTGGTCTGTCTGAGCATCTCACTGGGGGACATGTGACCCCCCAGCCCTCATTCACTTTGCTGTCATTCATTTCGTCGGTGAACGCCTGCTGTCTATACGCAGGTGTTCCTCGTGACTGCCCAAACCAAACTCCCTCAAGACGTAGCTTCCTGGCTATCCCCAGCAGATGTGTCCACTCCTCCTGTTTCCCTTCTTGCATCGTTTGATACATCCCAAGCAGACTTCGAAGTCCCCTCAAGAAAGCAGCAGTGGCTGAGTCGCCTTCACGTTTCCCGAGGCATCATCCTTCACATGGAGTTCGAAGCAAATAAAGCAGTGTGGAACAGAGAAGACTCCAGGGTGGAGAACAAGCAAGCAGCCCTAATGAAACAACAAGAAGACACGAAATTGAAGCAGGACTTGCTGGGAAGGGGGGGGGGCCAGCAGGAGGGGGAAGGGGACCAGAGAGGGTGGATATAGTCAAAATACTTTAGATTGTAATGAAAGCCGTTACTATGTAGAGTGAATGTATGCTAGTAAAAATTACCACCCTACTGCCTGTTTAACCCGCCACCTTTCTCCTCGCTTTCCTCCCTGTCAAATCTCTGCTGCAGTGGCCGGCATCCATGCCAGTATTAGACTCTCCAAAAACGTCAGAATCTGCTCCACAGCATTTCCCAGAAATGTCCAGAAACTTAGCTCTCGATATTGGGATAGGTTTCCTTCTGCAACATTTCAAACTGCTATCCAGCCCCTTTGTCTGGAGTCTTTTGCTTGGTTCCCAGGCAAGGAAGCACAAGCCATGACCCAGAAAGAGACAGCCTGACCATGTCACAACTGCAAGTGGACAAAACAGCCCCAAGCTGGGACCCCTGGCCCGACACCAGAACTGACAGAGAAAGCATGGGTCCAGGTGGCAGAGCTGTTCCCTCTAGACCGTCACCACAGAAGACTGTCCATGCCGCATCCCAGACTTGTGACTGGGCGCCAGATGGCTCAGATTAACCTGTGAGGCCAGGCCTGCGGCGTGACTTCATTTAACTGTGTGTCTTGCTCGTTTGGTATCTGCAGCCAGAGCCTCTGGCAGCAAATGTCCTTTTCCACCAGTTCAAGCAAGACAATGTACCTGTCATGGTCGTGTTTGCTTCCAGCTGCTGGCTCTCTCTCTCTGTCTCTGTCTCTGTCTCTCTCTGTCTCTGTCTCTGTCTCTGTCTGTCTCTGTCTCTCTGTCTCTGTCTCTCGTCTCTGTCTCTCTCTCTCTCTCTCTCTCTCTCTCTCTCTCTCTCTCTCTCTCTCTCTCTCTCTCTCTCTCTCTCTCCCTCCCTCTCATTCTCTCTCCCTCTCTCTCTCTCTGAGTGTGTTGCACTCCCAGACTGACAAGAATAACTTGCAGACCAGGCAGGAATCCTTGTATGTGGTGGCCTAGCGCCACCTACTGACAAGTTGCTTAACAGCAACCAAGAGGTCCAAGGAGGTGGGGGTGTCCTCTTGCAGGGAAAAGGGTTTTCTCTTGGAAGTTTTACATGAATTCTCCTCTACTTACTCAGCTGGACCACTTTGCCTGGAAGTCTTACGATGTTTCTATCTTTGCAGTAAATGAGCTAAGACCCGTGGCTCCAGAAGGAATCCGAGCGAGCCTTTAACTTGTCAGTCCTGCCTCACCCATTTCTTTGGCAGCTGTTGCTTCTAAATGATGAGCTCATGACAGACAAGCTAATGCTGTCTCCAGGTGTCCCAAGCACAGACGTGGAGAAAGATGGCCCTCCCAGGGGACCTGACGCAACCGCCTTGTCTTTATTTTTAACCTTTCAGATCAAGGTTTCTAAACTTGGGGTGCGAGGTTATTCTCACGGCGCCATGTCACCATGGCTCTTCACATCTAAGAAGGAGAGAGTGTCTCCACTGTGGCCACTGAGGACAGATAGGCTGATGGCCGGATGTCACCCAAAATCCTTGCTCGTTGCCTGCCCAGTGCATGATGTGTGAGCTAACGGCGCTCACTGTCCAGCAGCGTTAGATTCCCTGTTACTTGCAGATGTTTAGAGGTGGGGATTTCTTGTTACTTTGAAGCTGCCTGTCCACCACAAACATTTAATAGTACTACTAGACTTTTGCCCAGGAGATGCCAATGGCACCCCCACTCCCCAACGTCATCATATTATAACAACTAAAGTATCTGCAGATGATGCCATTGGCTCCCTGATTAAAAACCTTGAACCTAGAACTCAAGTACACAAACCCAGTAGTGGTTTGGATGAGAAATGTCCCCCACAGGCTCACGTGTTTAAACACTTGGCCCCAGTAGGCGGTGCTGTTCAGGGAAGCTATGTCGGGCATGGAACCTTGCTGGTGCATGGGAGGCTGTAGGGACCAACCTTTGGGTTTATAGGCAGGTCCTGCTTGGAAATCACTGATTTTATTTCTCCCCCTCCCCACTTCCCTGGATGGGGAACACACCACACCACAGGTGTGCCATCATTGCCTTCCCTACCATGAAGGACTGAATGCCCTAAATCGTGAGTCGCAATAAACCTCTACTCTCTTAGGTTGCCTCTGTCAGGTGTTTGGCCATAGCAGAGAGAAAGGTAACTGGGGGAGAAGCAAAATGAAAAGAATCCCGGGAAAGAAAGGTGAGGAGGAGTGGGGGGAGGAGTGGGAGGACAAAGAGTGGGAGGAGTAAGATGGGAGGAATGGGAGGAGGGTAAGAGGAGGAGGGGTGGGAGGAGGGGTGGGAGGAGGGGTGAAGGGAAGAGGGTGGAAGGAGGAAGGGTGGGAGGGAGCAAGAGGAGGAGGCACCACTACCATTTAACATAAACAAGTTGCCCGGGACATAATGGTTAAGCCAATGATCTAAAAGGCACAAATTGTGTGCAAAGAACTGCATGGCCTTCTGTTGTTTAACCCATGAGTAGTCTATATTGGCTCTCTAAGGAAACATTTGTTAGACACAAAGAAACTAAAGTTCAGAAATGTCAAGTCACTTGGCCAAGGTGTAGCAGAGCAACCACAGGAAACAGGATTTCCTGGCCCCAAATGAGAATTAGCAACATTT